TTCGCCTTCGGATCAGGTCTCTCTGAACTTAGTGGGCTATGCTCCTTCCATTATTTTCGTGCATGCTGTTTTGTACACCTGGAACTTTTATTCTAAATATGCACTTAACGCATTACCGTTGTTAAAAGGTCCCAAATTTCCTGAATTGCTAAAAACTTCAGTAGAAGGAGATCAAAAAGATATGATCTAAACTTGTATTTTGAATATCTTATGCAGTAATACCACTTTCATCCTTTAGAAGAGCTAGTAGCATGTTTGAATACATATAGAACTTTCACCTTGATTAATGGTTTTGGAGATTCAGGCGATTTCAAATAGTTTTGTACCGTTATGATGTACAATTTTTGAAATAGTTGTTCAGGTTGCTAAATGAGTATGCTTAGCGACTTCATGCCGTGGATGGACCAAATTTAAAGTTTAAATGAGATCCAAATTGAGGAGTGGTGGAAACATTGGAGGTGCAAATTGTGATTAGTCTTTTGTTTATAATTTGCTTATACATATTCCTGATTTGCATATTGCTTGTTGATTTCGCCTTTTGGTGTTTTGGTCATCGTAGCCTCATGAGCAGATTCTCGAGCTTCCTCAACTATCGAGTTTGAAGCAGCTGACCTTGCTGGTTTATGCATCGAAAGATCGCAGCCTGATTGGATGTACTTCTTTGATTAAGGCTTCACCCAACTTGGAGAAGTTCGTCTTAAAGGTATGCATTTTTCAGGGCAACTTTAGCTAAATTTAAAGTTACTGTGATTTGTAATCTCTGCATTTGCTTCTAACCATGGCATTCAGCAACATTGAACTCGGAATATATCAAAGTTTTGTCTATAGAAGTTTTGATTGGCAGTCATTGATAATCTCCTTCAAATAGGTCAGGGAAAAATTACCTAATTCTTGATCAAGGAACTCGATATATTTTATATTTTTCCGTTCACAAGGGGGAAAATGGCATAAGGCTAAAGATTTCTGAAGGCACCTTCCCCAGTCCATTTCCTTCCATTCAGTTTCGATATAGTACTATGATAGATTCTTAAAAGTAACAATACCGTGCTTTTATTCTAGAAAAAAAAAAAAAAAAAAAAAACTTTTCCGTCCCACCATTTTTTTCTGTTTTGTATCAACATGGCTTGCTTATTACTGTCAACCTTTCATGTTTTGCAGTTGCAGTGGTATTCTGATATCAAAAGAAGCAACAGAGAGTCTAAGAAAGCCATATATTATCCTCATCAACATCTTCAAAATATCCGGATACTATGGTCGGAATTAAAAGTGAAGTTGAACTTATCAATTATTTCTTAGAAAATGCTATAGCCCTTGAGAATATTATAGTCGACCCTCGCGAAGAATATTATAGTCTCGTCCATGCATGAAGAGAATTAAGAAGGAAAAAGTAGCAAGAAGTTTTGCCAAAGAACAGCTCGAGGCAAAAAAACCCTTCACATATTAACTTAATGATTTTTTAGCTTTTATTTTTTGAAAATTGTTTACATTGTGCAGGAGCCTTTTTTTGTTGGGTTAAGCTTCGGTATTCGTTAATTTATTCCTTGATTTCCATACATGTCGTCATCTTTACAGATTTTGATATACATATGTTCTCACTTGAATATTGTAAGAACATTGATCTTGAGATGTGTCAATTTTGGCCGTGAAGGTTCTTGGATACTTCTCGAATGTTGGCAATATAAACCAAATTAAAGAGTTTCTATTTATTTATTTACTAGTTTTGTTGGAGTCGGATTTTTACTAGTTGTGTGATTTAGAAATCTTTGTTTTATTTGATAATTTCTTATGCAAGTGATTTCTTATCAAACAAGTCTGTGGGTTATAAAATATCCATATTATTTAGAGTGTTTTTTCAAAAAAGTCCAAAAGAGTTTGTAAGATTTTTTTATTGTTGTGTGATTTTCTTGACTATTTTAAGATATCAATAACATTATTGTGAGTTATTTATTTCTCTTCTCTTCCGTATAAATATTTTGAATATTTGTTTTATTCCTTTAATTCTGTAACACTGCACGCATCCATTATTATTAGAACCCTAAATTTGAGTTCTGCATTGAATAATTGTCCATATCTTGAACGTCTGGCGGTGGATGGCTCTCATGTTTTGGTAAATCTTGAAGTTTCTGGTCCATCTCTTGCCATGAAATACCTTGACCTTATCGACTAGGTTTGTATTATTTGAACAGTTTCAACAACACTCACTTTCACACCAGAACTTCAGTGTCAAGCTCTAGCACATCATAGTGACAAGAATGGCCCATGTTGCCCGGATTGCTTAAATTTCTGCAAAACTTATACTTATCTTGAGCATCTTCCACTTTCACCCTTGAGAAAAGCTAGTAGCATGATTAGTTCTGCGAGTGTGTTTGGATAGTAAATTATTTAAGATAATTTTATGAAAAAAATACTGTAGCACTTTTTAATTATGATGTATGTGAAATAAAAATGTGAATGAAAAATGTGTTGATAATGCAAGGAAGTTAGTGTACATAAATAAGATGAAAAAAATGTGTAATCCAAACACACTATAGTCTATTTTCTACCTTGACTAATAGGGCCTCGGTGACTCGGTGAAATCAAATAGATTTGTGTTATTGTGATGAACTTTTCATACCACAAAATGAGTATAATCTGCTAGTTCATGCTGTAAATTGACCAAAAATAAAGTTCAAGATGCAAATTGAGAATTCATGGAAATAATGATTTTTTTTGTTTATAATTTTCCCATATTAGCTTCCAATTTGTGTAACCTTACTTTTTGATTTTGCCATTTTGAGTTTTGATCATCCTAGGAAAGAGCAAAGCCACTTGAGCTTCCTCAGCTAACGAATTGGAAGCACTTAATTTCTGCATCAAGAAATCACTGCTTGATTGGTGATTCTTTAGCTTCTGTTGTTGAAAACTTTTACATGGAGAGCTAGCTGTTTGTTTTGTAAATGTGAGTATTTATCAAAATTTTCCTTAACAAATACAACAATGCTAATTAATATCAGTTCCAAGAATAATATTTTACATAAACCATAGGGCAAAGTATAATGATATCAATATGTTTGAAATATTTTCATAGACCATAGAGCAAAGTATAACGATGATATCAATATATTTGAGAACGTGCTATGGCTTTCACAACTACCAGTTTAATTAATGTGTGAGAAGCCTGTTTGGATTTTCTTTCACAAAAACAATTTCTAGTTTGTGATTAGTAGAGTAATTCTGGAGAATTAAAAAAGGTAAACTAAAACGTCAATGCGAAATAAATTGTGTAGTTTTTGCACTACAGAAATAATCGATTGGGATAAAATATATTTGGAACGCAACATTTAAAACTTTTTCAACAATTTGAGGTGTGGTCTCAAAATACTGTGTAGCACTCAAAGTATTTGCAAAATAGGAAAAAAAAAATTCATGCACCAAGGAAGTCAGTCATACCATCCCAACAAAAAGTATCCTGCAATGGGAAGCACACTAGTTTGATACTTTCAAATTGGTAAACTTTCAAATGTTGCCCACAATTTACCGTCTACCATGCAACATGTAACTGGACTCGGATATAATCCGAGCCAATTATTGAATCTTTTGGTCCAATAGTCAAGAGAGACTCATAAAGCTCTCGCATGCATTAGATCGATCCGTCTGATGTATAATACAAAATGTATAGTGTTTTTTGTTCTTAAAAATCGAGGGAGTGCGGTAAAAAAAAAATGTTTTTTTTTTTCAATAGAAAAAATCAGAATTAAATCATTAATCCTTAATTTCAGGTAAACTTCAAAAGTCTCGCAACTCTTGAGGCCAGCTAATAATCTAACTCCAACACCCCTCCAATGATCGATGTGGGATTTTTTGGAAATAAAATGCTGCCAAGTAGTATTAGGTTATCTTTCCTGAACCATCACAATGCTGCCAAGTAGGGTTGACTCAGTCAATACCCATGGCAATGCTGCCATGTACGGTTGACTCAGCTAATACTTTGACTAAAAGTAAGTTCAATTTCGAAGTAGCTAACTAGCAGTTTTTCCATCGAAAGGCAATACGTAAAAGCTATTCTAAACATCATGGAGTTTGTTTGGATAACAAAAATTTAAAATAAAAATTTCAGATTTTATTTTGCTTGCATCATACACACAATTCTATCACCTTTTTATCTCACATACATCACATCACAAAAAGTGCTACAGTAACTGGATCAAATAAATCATCCAAATAAATTCTCATCCAAACAAACACTATTTCTAATCCTTTTCCTACCAAAAGAAAATAAGTATGTTTGGACAGGAGATTATTTGTCCAAATTTATTTACTTATATTATCATTATAATTTTCAATACATTTTTTTATTTTTTTAATTATATTTTTATTTCACATACATCACATCATAAAAAATATTACAGTAATTATTTTAAATAATATTTTAAATAATCTCCTGTCCAAACACAAATCACTATCAAATACTAACAATAGTAGTGATTGAAAATTCTCAATAAATTTCCCTTCACAATTGATAACAACTTCTTCCCTCATTGAATTCTCATTGATACAACCACCATACTAATACTTTACTACAGCCCAAATCAGTCCCTGCAGCGAACGCGTTTTAGTACTGGAAGGAGCAGACCATAAAAGTCTAGAGATAAAAAGGAAGAATAATTAATAATGACCATCGAGCCCAGTGTCTATGTTTTAATTCTCTACAGGCAACTAAAATTTGGCAGAGCCTGAATGAGTAGACGATGGTGACATTCTTTCTCTATTAGTTGACGTCAATCTCGCACTCTATCCAAAAACCTCTCTCAATCTTGGCAGCCATTTTTTTTTAATTTCGTTATATATTATAATTTTTTCCACTTTCATCTGATTGGTCTACAAATGAATTCCACTGTTGCTTGCCCAATCATGTAAGCAACCTAGCAAAACTTCCTGGACAAGACCACGGCATTTTCCAGAGTCCACACTATATATTTTTTGCGTATAAATATAGAAACAGACCATTGTTAAATGATTTCAGTCTTTTGGCTAAAGAAGCAAAAGATATGTCCAGCTCAGATGATGAAAAACTATCCCAGATGATCAGAGACTACATTGAGTTGGATCCATCATCTCCTATTTCCTCTTCAAAATCCCTCCAAGTCGATCAAAAGTCATCGTTCATGTATTTACAGGTTTGTTTACAGTATCAAGATACTTCTAGTCTTGACATATACCTGCTGTTGCCAAAAAAAAAAGGGGGTTTTGTTCCTTTTTTGGCTAATATTAATCGTTTTGTATGATTGGTTTTTTCAGGAAATTCTTGAGCGTGTAACTGTTGCCGAGTCTGAAATTCTTAGAAAAATCTTTTTGTACTGGAAAGATTTAGAGCCCAGCAAGCTAAGAAAATGGGTTGTAATGAATTTGGGAAAGGACTATTACGACGCTAGTCTTTGTAGGACTTCTTGGGTCACAAAATTTAATCGCTCTTCAGGTATTTCCATCACCAAACTTTGTGTGTGTTAATGTGGATTTTCTAGTAGGTATGGTCAAGTAATCAAAATGTAAACTAAATTTCACGGAATAATGATATATTCTTCTTTTTCTTATTCTTTCCTTTGTGGGTTGATAGTTTTTGAATTTACAGGTGAATACGAGTACATTGATGTGATGATGAAGAATGATGCTACAAGTGATGGTGCTGTGAGATTGATTGTAGACATTGATTTTAGGTCTCAGTTTGAGCTGGCAAGGCCTACACCAGAATATGAAGAGCTCTCAAATTCTCTGCCTTCAATTTTTGTTGGGACAGAATTAAAACTTGAAAAGATCATCTCTTTGGTTTGTTCAGCTGCAAAAGAGTCTTTAAGAGAAAGGGGTCTTCACGTTCCTCCATGGAGAAAAGCTCGTTACATGCACTCCAAGTGGCTCTCTGAAAATTGCAAAAAGATCTCATTCCCAGAGCTTGGGACAATCTAATTTGGCAATTTTTTTTGTGGGTTTGCCAAATTTAGCAAAAGGAATCTGCAGCTATGAAGGATTGCTCATTTAGGGGAGAAAAAGTGGTCCTTTTTGGGCGTCCATACATTTTGTTTGAGTTTTGTAGACTCCCAAACTGTTTTGGCTACAAATGCGGATAAGTTTTTTGTTTATCTAAGGCTCCGTTTGGATTAGCTATTTTTGGGGTTGTTTTTCAAAAACAGCACTGTAGCATTTCGTTTTTGAAATACAAGTTCGTTTGGATTAGTTATTTTTGGGGTTGTTTTTCAAAAACTATATGAAAAACTTTTACTGTAGATGTTTTTTGAATTACTTTTAGAGGTATTTTTAAAATATATTTATGGGTATTTTTATAATTTATAATTTTTATATTTTTATTTTTATATACATTTATGCATTTATAATACATTTATAAATATTAATAAATAAATATATTTATATATTCGCTAAAAATTATAAAAATGTATTATATTATATATAATACATAATATAAATATATTTATAAATGTATAAGTGTATATTATTATAAATGTATCAATTACAAATGAATATTAAATAAATTTATAAATTCTAATTTTATTAATATATATTAATATTATGTATAAATATATTAATATAATTAATATAAATGTACAAATGTATTAATATTATGTGTAAATATAAAATAATATTATGTATATTAATATAAATGTATTATATTATATATAATACATAACATAAATGTATATTATAAATGTACATTAATATATATATTATGTATAAATGTACACTTATATAAATGTATAATATATAATATATATTACATATTATATTATATATAATTTATATAATATATAATATTCATATAAATATATTATAAATATATAAAAATATTTTTTAAATAAAATAAAATATTTATAATATGTATACATAAATATATAAATATATAATATATATAATATACATTAATATTAATTATAAATATTATAATTTTATAAATATGGTGTTTATATAACATTTCAATTTGTAATATTTATTGTATATTTCATTATATAAATATTTATATAATATATAATATATAATTTTCAATTTGTATAATATACATAATATTGTATATATATAATATAATATACATAATATAATATATTATACATAATATACATTATTACATTATTACATATTATGTATATTATATATTATATATAACATTATTATACACAATAATGTACATAATAATATTATACATTAATAATGTATATATTATAATATAATGTACATAATATTATGTATAAATATTTACACATTTATGTATACAATATTACATATTATGTATATTATATTATATTATGTATAATATACAATATTATGTATAATATTAGTGTATATAAATATTTATATAATATAATATATATAATTTTCAATTTGTATATTTCAATTTATATTAATATAATATAATATACATAATTAAAATATACAAATTGAAATATACATATGTAGTTGTTTTTGATATAATGTTTGGATATGGTGTTTTTGGAGTTGTTTTGGAAATATACATTTACTGTAGCATTTGGAATGTGAAAAATAGTTTTTCAAAAACAACCCAAAAACAAGGGATCCAAATGGACCCTAAGGAAAAAGAAATTCGAAGATGTTACTAATGTCTAGACTTATTTGGAATGCGATTGTCTGCAAAAAAATAATTTTACCTTTTCGCGAACATATTTTTTTAATTATCATTTTATGTTACATATATCAAATTATTAAGCTGTGATTTTTTACAAAAACTCCTGAGTTGTCGAGGATTGCCTTCAGTTTTGACCTTTTTGTACGAACTACGGCAGTCATGTCTTTTACCTACCATATGTCTATGGTGTTCAATGAGTCAGTTTAGATAGTAAAAAAGAAAAGACGTATGCATTGTGTTCCCAAATTTTTTTTTTTTTTTTTTTTGCAGTTTTTTGGATCCAAAATTGTAGTTCATATGCTATGTTTATCTTTGTGCGTTTTCTATAGAGAAATTACAGGTCATATTTTCGTCTTCACCTAGTGTGAATTTGAAAGGCTACAGGCCTGAAATATTTTGGCAAAAAATCAATGTTTAAAAAATCGGATCATTAATTGAACCGGTGAAGTGAAAGGATCAAGGTTCAATCGGTAGAATCGGTTCAATTCCAGTTCAATGAATTTTTTTAAAAATAATTTATATAAATATATATGCACAAAATAAGACATGTAATGGACTAATTTAATACTTTATATGATGAAAAGTTTACTATTTTTTAATAACTTAGATTTTTAAAAATAAAAATTTTAAATTATAAGTTAAAACAAATAAATTTCATCTCAATTTCAATTATATCTAAATCCAACCCAAAAATATCACAATATTTTGAAATTACACAAAATTCACGTCTATGAGAATTTAGATATTGTAAACTTAAATTTTAATTTACGTTTTGGAATTTAGAGATTGTAATTTAAAAAAGGAAGTTTGGAGTTCGAAGGAAGTCAAGAGAATCGAAAATAGAAATGTAAACTTGATAAGAAACAAAAAATGAGATAAAAGTGAGTGGTTATGGCATTAAATAATTTGGGTTAAAGAAAAATAATTCCTTTTTAACTTTTTTCAATTTAATGGACAAAAACAAAATTAAAAGATGGAAGAAAACATCAATAAATTAAAAATAAAGAGGTTTGATTAAAAAGAGAGTGACAAAAGAAAAGAAGATAGAGAAAGAGAGAGAGGGAGAGAATTGAAAATTAAAAAGAAAAAACTATGAGAGAATGGGATATTGTAAGAAAAATGAAAAAAAGAAATATGAGTGTTTGTTTTATATAAATAAGTTATCAAAAAAAACTAATAAGATATGATGGTACAACGGTTAATACATTGGTTTTCTATTACAAAGGTCTTGAGTTTGAATCTTAATAGCTGCATTTTGCAAAACAAAAAAAAAAGGAAAAATTGAAAACCGAAAACTACCGATTCGACCGTTTTCACGGTTCGACCGATTTTCTGACAAAATCAACTATATTATAGAACCGGACCGGTGCCATGACCGGTTCGCGATTCAACCAGCCGGTCCAGTCCGATTTTCAAAATATTGCAAAAAATTGATGTGAGTAGTAAGTGTGATACCTTGGTGTACATGATGTCTTCATTGATGACCGTGACAAGAAAGACAATTTGCAATGTGTTTCATGCAACAACTTGACTTGACTTTTCTTCCACATTCAGCAATTTTTCATAAGCTAGAGGTAAGTAGTTAATAACACAATATTTTTTTTAATAACACAATATATTATGCTAAGTTAGCAGTTATAATCATTCATTTCTATTATTTTCTTTCAAAGAGCATTAATTAGACATAACTGGTTTTGCAAATTATGTCCAAATAAACATAATTTTGAATATTTACATACACTAAGTCCTACATTCTGAATGGTACAAGCAATCAATATCATTAATAGCATATCTAACACTAGTGTAGACTATATGTGAGGTAAAAAGGATTGCATTTTTCTGAACTTTTTTTTTTAGAAAAATTATTGTAACGATTTGATATATATGAGATAAAAATGTGACGGAAAAATATGCCTACGGAAAACAAAGTAATTTTTCTTTGAAAATCTGTAATCCAAACACACCCGAACTCTATCAAACAGATTTTGTAGTTTTGGAGACCGGATTACCTGGCTTCCAAGTTACTAGTTCCTTTGGGAGACATAAATGAACTCTTTTCTAATTACGCACTTTTAATTGATAAGAGTATTTTAAAATTCGATCTGTCTAATGGGTGCCCATAGAGCACTCATTAAGATGTATTTCAAGTTTTAGATTTTTAGAAATATAAGATTAATTAAAGAAAGTATATATATGCAAGAAAATTAATTAGAAAAAGTATATAAATACAAGAGAAAGTAATAATTGTTAGAGTGTGTAATAATTGTTAATGTGTATATATGCATGATACATTGGATGAAATGTAAGTGTGTTTCCATAAAGCACCAGAAAAACCTTTTAAAATTTAGTAGTTTCGAATAACAAGCTTCATTTACAGCCGGTGATGAACACGTTTCTTCCATCATAATTAGGTTGTAATTCTTTTTGGGTAATGTTCATGTTCTAGTTCACCCACATCATTTTATTGGTGCCTCGTCCTATATTACATTTTCTTTCTTTTACATAACAACATGTCTATCCTTTTCTCCACACTTGGCGTGAGGTTAACTACTATTTTATCGACAAAAGCAACCAATTTGATTCCATCCCCAATTAGCTTAGTCATAATCTTTAGAGCTCGTTTGGATTGAAACTTTTGAGAACTTTTTTTTTTTTTTTTTTTGTAATTTTCCAATAACATGTCATGCACCTTTGGCTAACATATCCAAAATTGGTTTTTTTTTTTTTTTGGTTCAAATAAAAAGCAATAACACGCTAGCAAATAGGCCATGGACGAATTAAGTAGGAAATGACATTGAGAGTTTCATAAAAATGAGATTGTAAAAGGTACTATACACAAACATAAAAGTTAGAATTAAAACTAGGCAGACATGAGATTCACATGTAGATTGTTTTGACCAGTATAGGCTATGGATCATGCGTGAGTCACATTACTCAGTACAGTAGCACGTTTTTCTTTTTTCTTTTGTGGAGAAAAGAGGAAATTGCAATTTTTTGGAGTTTTGGAAAAAAGTACTATAACGATTAATGTATGTGAAATAAAAAAAATGATTAAAAAATATATCAAAAAATATTCTCAAAATTTTTCTACAGAAACTAACAATCCAAGTAGGACTTTATGATAATTGCATTATAGAAATCTAGTAAGAACAGCTTGATCATGGGCCATAGAGACCTCACTCCCATTTAACTTTAATAATCAAAAGAGGTAGTGCTTTGTTAAAAAAAAAAAAAAAAGAGGTGGTGCTTTATCTTTAAAGTTAGGGAATGGTGGGATACTAGCATAATTATTCAATTGACTTTGAGCACCGCTCAGAGAGGTGACCAACACACCGGTTCAATTGTAGGTTAGGCGGTTGAATTGCGGATGGCACAATAGCATATTATATAATATAACAATATGTCTTAAATTATAAAAATAATATATTTTAAATTGGTGGTTCAACTCACAGTTCAACTGATAGCTTTTTCTCAGTTTACCAGTTAAACCGTTGGATCGTTGACTGATTAATGAATTTGTTGTTTAATCGATCTAATTGGTAACCCAAT